GTTTGTAGAGTAATTTACAACAGCTTCGAACGCGGCTCAGCCAATCAGAATCAAAGACCGGAACTCTCCGGTTTATAAGGAATAATTTTTGCTTCTTTCAGTTTGTGCTGCTGAAGGCCCCTGTGTTGCTTGTCCAAGTAGTTCAGTCATGAATTGCAAACTCGAGCAGTTGCCCTGCTGTCAGTTGTTGTAAGGGAACTTGGTTCTTTGAAACCGTGATTAATTTTGAACTCTTGTGTTGAATCATCAGGAAGGCCACCGAGGGTCTGGCAGCCATTACTGATGATGACGGTTCAGCTATTTCGGTGCGACAGATGGCTTACGGTAAACTCTGTTCCTGTCCCAGTCTGTGCTCAGCTGAAAACAGCTTGGTGTTATTGGGTTTCATGTTGCACTCAGGATCACTGGATGGCAGGTTTGATCAGATGTCTGTGTGTGTTTCGTGTGCAGTGGCTGGGCTGGGCTTTGGGATCATGAGTGGTGCGTTCTCAATGATCAACGTCCTGTCTGACTCTCTGGGTCCCGGGACGGTCGGCATCTTTGGAGACTCACAGTATTACTTCATTACAGCAGGTGAGCTCCTGCAAAGCCTCATGGGCCATCAGGACAATTTCCAACATCTTAAACCTTTAGATGTGCTGTTTTTATGTCAGCATATGTTTATAATCCTCAAATGAGCTGATTTTCACCCAGGGTTATTATAGTTAACAAAAACGTAAAACATTTTAGTTGTATGAAATAACATAAATGTTAATAAAATATAATATTAAAATAAATAAATAATTATAAAATAAATATATAATATATATAATAAATTATATAATAAAATAAAATAAACTAATTCAAACTTTCATTTCAGCTTGTTGCCAAGGAAGCAATTCTCATTTTCATTTATTTTAACTTATTGTACTAAAATAACAAAAACTAAAACTGAAACAAAATTTTTTATATATATATATATATTAAAAACAATAACATATATATAGACATAAAAATTAAGAATGAATACAAGAACAAAACTACTAAATTTGTCAATTTTAATTTTGGTCTCCAGTCTGTTCTGTTGTTTTTCTTTAATTTTTATATTCTTATTTATTAATACACTGCTATATAGTTATTTACTATTCATAATAACAGGCTTCCTACAGTTATGAAAAACCCGGAAATATCAGGACATTTTAAAATTGTGGTTTCCAGACCTGGAAAAGTCATTGGAATTGTTCTAGTTATGCTCATTTCTGAAATATTGACTAGGAATTGCTGTTTGAAAGTGCAGTCCTTTTGGGGGGAAAATAATAATAATAATAATGTAAAAGTCCTTTAGTGCGACTGGGAAAGTCATGAAAAATTCATGAAAATTCATTAGTCCAAAAGGATCTAAAAGGATTAAAGGGATACAAATGATCATCAAAATTTCTGTCTTAATTTACTCTTTCATGTCATTCAAACCTGGATGCATTTCTTTTGTAGAAAAAAAGCTACAAGAAAGAAATGCATAGAGTTTTGGATCCCTTGCTTTAATGGCCGTGCTCTGAACCGTGGGCCTCAAGATGACTTTAAATGGCCTTCATTTTAAACTATTTTAAAGTGTGATTTCTGTACTTAGTAAAATCATGTAAAATCTTATAACTCCATGGACATTTTTATAGCGAATGTACATTTTTCTAGATATGCCAAGCTCTAAAATATTTCGTCGGGTGAAAACAAATCTTAAATCCTCATCATTAATCCAGAAGATGAGAGGTGAGGTCTTACTGGAATACCCTGGAGTGCTGAAGCATGAGCAGCAGTGATGTTGAGGCTTGTGTGTTGATGTCTGCAGCGCTGATGACGCTGGCGCTGACGCTGCTGCACACGTTTTGGGGTGTGCTGTTCTTCGAGGGCTGTGAGAAGAGCTGCTGGTGGGTCATCGCTGCAGTCGTCTCTCTACACTTGTTAGTCGCTGGCCTGGTGAGCTTTACATGAACACACATGCATCCTTCACATGTCAACATGTCTCTGATGTCAACTGACAGTGAAAGACTTTGAAGTTCAAGTCATTTCAGGTTTCATTTTATAAATCCACTCACAGGACACTTCGCTTTATATGCGTTTTTCCTTATGCACGGGGGGTTATACTTACTGCAAAGAAAGTATATGAGATTTTACTTGACTAATTTATTTTGTTTTTGTTGCTTTTTTTTTGCATTTGCTTTAAAATTAATATTTTATCCATTCACCTTTAGAAAAACATTGAACAACTTCCAGGCATGCTTTTTTGTTGCCTCTTGATGTTTTTCATGGTGAATGCGTTGGTAACTGTTTTAGCAGAGATTTCTTTTCCCTCATGCTGAACCTCCATGATGTATGTTTGATTCTGTCAGAACGATCTCTGAGCTGCTGTGCAAATGCCTGTATTATCCTGCACATAAAAAAACCAATCCAAGTTTAATTTATCATTTTGTGACAAATTATTTCTTCTTGTAGGCCTATAAACTGTATTCATGGTGTCTCTAATTAAAACTCAATTCTCAAGTTAAAATTGTTAGTCTAATTTAACTGTGACTCAACTATTTCTGACTTTACCAGCACGCTAATGGCGAGAGATAATACTTTTATAATACTTGATACTTTCATTCAACACGGATGCATTAAATTGATCAAAAGTGGCAGGAAAGAATTTTACATTGTTTCCGAAAATTCTATTTTAAATAAATGCTGTTCTTTTGAACTTTCTATTCATCAAAGAATCCTGAAAAAAAGATATGTAGCAAAAATGTTTTCAACATTGATAATAATCAGAAATGTTTCTTGTGCAGCAAATCAGAATGATTTCTGAAGGATCATGTGACACTGAAGAAGACTGGAGTATTCAGCTTTGCGTCATTGCATTTTAAATTATATTAAAATAGAAAACTAATAATTTTCAGAATGTTACTGTTTTTACTGTAATTTTGATCAAACAAATGCAGCCTTGGTGAGCAGAAGAGGCTTCTTTCAGAAACGTTAAAAAATCTTCCAGATCCCAAACTTTTGAACTGTAGTGTTCATAAACGTGGTAAATAAATTCATTAGAGATCTTCATAGCTTCATGACAGCTTAGCGCCTGTAGCTTGTGTTGGTATAAAGTTACACCAGGCATTTGATACACACTCTGTTATTACACGGTAGCGCTGTTTTAGAAAGCTTGCTCAGATGTCTGATGTTTCATCTGGATGCAGCAGGAGAGCTTCACATTACCAGAGTAGCACAGAAACCATCGTGATGTTACAGGAGTGTGACTGCGTTTCGGTTTCATACGCACAGCTCGGGTTATTTGTGTACATAAACTTTCCCCAGGAAATGTTATTGCTCAGTGATTGCTTTTTATAGCCCTGTTTACATCTTATATTACCACACGTCTCAAATATTAAATGTGTCCAGTCCAGATCCAATTTGGTCTCCAGTTTTATTATGGGATGCATCACTTACAGTGTCTACTACTAGTCTTAAAAAGCACAAATCTGACATTTTCTCTCTTCCCATCTGTCAGTCGCTGCTGAATCCGCTGTATGAAGGCAGTCTTCCTCCTGTGTACGGCATTACGCTGCTGATGGGCGTCTGGGCGTTCTTCTCGTCTGGAGGATCACTACACAGCCTCAATGCTCTCTGCACACGTAAGACATGATGACACTCACACACTTGACATGATCTTCCTTCAGCTGCGAGATGTCAGTGATGCCTGAGAGTGTCTATGAGCCAATCTGAAGCGTGAGCTCTATATCAGTGTTTCTGAGCCCTGGGTTCGAGCAGCAGGCTTGGAGGACACTGCTCTGTCTACATGACCCTGAAAGCTGTTTAAAGTCATATGCTTCCAGATGTTCATCTTCGCTCTCATTATAGTACGCTGTGTGTCTCATATCAGCAGGCCCACATGAAAACAGTGCCCATGTTTCCACAATTGTGGATAGCAACAAAGTATTTTTACTCTGCTACTATATATAAGCACGTTTTTCAAGGATCTCAGATGTTTATTCCACTGCATCCCAAAGTATAATATTGTACATTTTAGAAAAAAACATGTTTTTTCATCATTTAGTGAAGAAATGCTTTAACTTCATTAATTGTTTCCTCTGAAGCAGGATTCACAAAAATGTTCGTAAGAAGTTTGTAAGAATGTTCCTATGTACAGTTCTTTAAAAAAAAATCGTAAGTTCTCAATTATTTTTTAAAGAGCGTATGTATTATACAATTTGTACAGTGTAAAAAACATTATGCCTATATATATATATATATATGTGCGTGTGTGTGTGTGTGTGTGTGTGTGTATGTGTGTGTGTGTGTGTGTGTGT